GAATTTGCTTCGGTAGTGGAGGTTTGGTTCGTTAGGGCCTCAATCTTCTTACTCCGGTTGAGGTTAGTCGCCCGTTGGGGACTCAGATTGAGAGGGTCTGGAGACCTTTAGTCGAGACTTCAGACTGCTTAAGAACCTTCCGCAGTATAACTATCATAGAAACTGAACTTGGTAATTGCAATCCGGCTTAACTGCAGTCTAGGGGGAACCATATCCTGGTGACCTCTCTCGACTTGAAACAACCGCTTAACTTGCTTTGTGTTTTTTGCTTGTTTGAACCTGCACTTAACTTTTACCGCTAGATAATAAGAATTCACTGAGTAGTCATCACATCTAGGACCCGGGTTGACATTAAAACCCAAACCCGCTATACTACGCTTTAGGAAGTGGTTTCACTTGGCCAATTTCTAGAGTGACAGTAGGAGTGAGTCATGTTTCTCTCTCTAGAAATAAGAAGAAGGCTTTCTCACTTAAGTGGGCTCTCCCCTCTCTCTTCCTTTCAGATCATCTTTTAAACAAGGAACGAGTTGTGTTCACGGCTCCAGTTCACGGCCGCGAACGCTGAAACGCGTCCGTGAACTCTAATTGGGCGCCGAAATGCACCGCTTCGCTTACTTGTGTTCACGGTCCACAACTCATGTTCACGGTCTTAGCAACCGTGAACACAATTGGCGTCAGTAACTTGCATTTTGGCTCTGGACGCCTCAAATTTCACGGCCAATGGCTCTTCTTCACGGTCATACAAGAACGTAAACAGCCAAGGAAAACCATGAACTCGCCGTTTTTCACCTCTTCTCCTGGTTTTCGATCCTTTTCGACTCTGAGGCTGGTTTCACCTGTTAAATCCCAAAACACACTTAAACACGAGAAACCTAGCGTAAAACCAACCTACTAGGAGCGGATTTGCCATAAACGATTGAGGAAAATGGGAACAAAACATGTACAATTAGGTCGGAATCATAATTCAGGTGAAATGTTTTGGTTCTCCTTCCTTTCGTGCAATTTTTGGTCCTTTGTCTTCTCTTGTTCTTTCCCAGTTGCTTGATTCTCCTTGTCCTTCCCTTTCTTCTCATTATGACTCTCCTCCCTTGTTCTAGCCTGAGCACTCCTTGGTGTTTCAAATGTCTCTTTGTCTGTGTCCTTGGCCTGACTTGGTTCAGCTTCCTCATTAGTTGTTATGTCTCAATCTTTAGTTTCCTCTTCCAATTGTTGTGATTTTCTTTCCTTTGGTTTTATCCTGCTCCTTTGGGTGATGCTCCCTGGCCTCGAGGTCTCTGTTGTTTTTTGTTCCTTTTGGTTCTTGACGTCAGCATCCATGGCCCATAGTCTTCCATAGTTTCTGGTCTGACCTCTTTTTGTGATCTTCGGTTATTGCCTGTCTTCAGTCGTTCTTCAGGTGTCACTGGGGCCCCATCAGTTTTCAATGGACATTCATCCTCCAGATGTCCGTAGTAACTACAATAAAAACAAACAGTGTGAAGCCCTTCGACCTCAATTCTTCTGACCCATCGTTTGATTCTATACTTCGAAACTAATCTCTTTCATAAGTCCACTTCCACACAGATGCGAGCGTAGTTCCTATGAATCCATTTGTTGTGTTGTAGTCGATTTTCCCAACTCTCCCCAATCTGTTTCCTATATCAGTGGGAAACTCTTCATCAAAATAGGCCAAAGGGAGGAGGTGCAACCTGATCCAGAACAAGGTCTTGTTGATAGGGTCAAAATCTGGATCAAAATCCATCCTCCATGCCTCTAAAACAATGTAGTGATCGTCGATGGTCCACGGTCTGCCGTAGATTGCTCGATCATGATCAAGCTGGGTATCAAAAATAGCTTGGCAATATCCATTCCCGATGTCACCCAACCTTCACATGACCAGTCTTTGCCCACATTTTCAGAATTCTACATTGAGTGTAGGCAAAGGGGAAATTCTTACCCAGAACTCTGAAAGTGATTGCCCTGTTCCAGTGCCTCTGTATTCTCGAGTTAGTGCGTTTCTTGATCAGGATTGTTGGGAAATCGGGCTCATCTTCCCCGTCCTCCTTCTCTGATTCGGCGGAAATCAGGTCGTCCCCTTCTGGATCCTCGGCCTGTGTTTGGTTACCAAGCACTGAATCTCTGTAGGAAGATTTATTTGGCTCCTGCCCTTCAATCATTGTGTCTTGGGTGTCTTCCTCGCTTGAAATCTTCCTCTCCTCTCCTAGGTCATCATTTTGAATCGTTGTTTTCACAACAGTAGAACCCATTTCCCCTTGATTAGAGAATCCCTCACTGGTCCATACTTTGGCTTTCTTGCTCGGTTGTATTGACGAGGTTGCCGGAAAGCCATCAAGTGGCTTGAGGCAGTGGTCAAACTACATTTCCCATGGATGGATGCCAACGGTCATCGCACCAGGGAAAGAGAGAGGTCAGAGTTTTCTCTCTCTCTAACCAATGGCTCTCTATCGTTCCTTCCAGCGTTTTCTCTCTATTATGTTTAGTTTAACTAGCAGGCTTTGTTGCTACATACTAGTGTCTTTTTGATGAATAAGAATCCACCGAATTAAAAAAAAAGATAGTTACTCCCTTGGATGTTAGTGTTACAACTCTGGTAAAATATAATTTTCTCCGATCTAGGGTTGTTAATAGAATTTTTACTATTAGAGGAGTTTTTTGCCAATTTTATTTGGCATGAAAAGTTGAAAACAATTTGTGGCCCATGTGCTCTAGCATTAGCCAAAATCTAAAACTATCTGGCCCAAATGTTAAGATTAAGGCATCGAGTTGGGCTGAGACTGTAAGTTCAAACGCGAAATGGACCAGCCCACAGGCTTTTAAGTCCAATATGCTTCCTCTCCAACCCAATCCAACCCAATGAATACACACTGTAGAGTAGGCTTGGCCAATTAGGGTTTTTGAGGTTTCCCTTCCCTTATATTCCTCCTCGCCCCTTTTTTGACAGAGCGGCGATCTTTTCAGTGCGAGAAAGAGGACGACTGTGAAGGGAAAGCTCGGACACAGGGAACTTCTCGTCATCAGAGCCCGCAACCATGGTGCACGTCGCATTCTACCGCAACTGTAATCTTCTTCTTCTTCTTCTTCTTCTTCTTCCTTCCCTCATGTTATTATGTCTGTAGTTTCGCTAGGGATTGTCTGCGGGATTTCGGACTGAACTTCAGAGTACTCGTTAGAGAACTGTAACCCTGATCTACTTGATAAGTTTATCTGTTACGTGTGATCTGAAGATTTCTTCACTGTACAATTCCTATCTGATGGCGTATTTGTTCGCACTTCTTGATTGCTGAGATTTGAGGCAGATTTGCTACTCTTCAATTTACTTTCGATTTTCTTACCTGTGTTCTGAAAGGATACGTTGGGATATTTGTAGATGGGAAGACTTTCAAGAAGCCTCGTCGTCCTTATGAGAAGGAACGTTTGGATGCTGAGCTGAAGCTCGTGGGAGAGTATGGTCTGCGGGCCAAGAGGGAGCTGTGGAGGGTCCAGTATGCACTGAGCCGCATCCGTAATGCTGCTAGAATGCTTCTGACTCTGGATGAGAAGAACCCACGCAGGATCTTTGAGGGTGAGGCCCTTCTCCGAAGGATGAACCGCTATGGACTCTTGGATGAGAGTCAGAACAAGCTCGATTATGTCTTGGCCTTGACTGTTGAGAACTTCCTTGAGCGCCGGCTGCAGACTATTGTTTTCAAGGCTGGGATGGCGAAGTCTATCCACCATGCTCGTGTTCTCATCAGGCAGAAACATATCAGGTAAAGAACAAGAGTATTTAGCCCTTGTTGAAGTGACTCTTTTCAAATTTTGAGGCACACTGAATTGATTGAGATATCTATCCTGAATGGGGTGGTACTTTAATGGTTAGATTTTGCTCCATTGTTTTCTTTGAAAATGGTTAGGATTTGATTACTTTGAGATTTTGCCAATTCTATCCATTTGGCTTTCATTTGTGGTCTTCCAAATGGAAAAAGTACTTAATTCCTTCAGCATATAGAACTTAGACTCAGTTCCATCATAAGATCTGCATGTTCAAGCATTCCGTTGTGTTTCAGAGAGGGTTTATAGGTTGTTGTGTTCTACATTCAAGCCATACCCAGTTAAGGTGGAGGAAATAATGTCTCAAGAAACTGCTGCGGTTTGTTTTCACTATTGCTCTTTCCTTGTAATAAATGATGTATGGCTGCTGATCTCATAACAATCAACAAGGCGTACTTTGTTAGGGTCTGTTTATTGTGTTCTGTTGCTGTAAGTTTACAACCTTGTTTTGATTAAGGGTTTATCGTGATTCACTCGTGCATAATTGCTACATTTCATGCGTGTTCCAATGCTTGTGCATCTTCTTGTATTGCAGGGTTGGAAGACAGGTTGTGAACGTGCCATCTTTCATGGTCAGGATTGATTCGGCTAAGCATGTTGATTTCGCTTTGACTAGTCCATTTGGTAATGCTGGCGTGAATGGAAGGGTGAAGAGGAAGAACATGAAAGCAGCAGCGTCCAAGAAGGGTGGTGGTGGTGGTAGCGATGATGAAGGAGATGCTCAGGATTAAAGCAGTTAGGTCGCGCCCGACATCGTATCTTGCTATATCTACAATTGGCCCTTAATCTAAACAACTAGTTTTGCCTGCTGTGTTGAAGCATCATTTCCAATGTTGTCGTTTCTTTTGATTAGAGATCTTCTGTGGGAACACACTCTTACTAGTCTTGCTTCTTCGTTTTGTTATTATAAGCACTGAGCAGATGTTTTGTCTTGTTTTTTTTATGAAATGTTCTCAAGACTGTTGGCCTATTCAGTTTGTTTGAAGTTGTGTGTTGTGAAGTTATGGTCTTTCATCTGGTTCGATCCGGTTAGCGTTTTAAGATATGATGTGTCGATACGATATCACAAACAGTCAAACACTGACGCGGATAAAAATTCGTAGGTCTTGTGGGGAGAGGTAACAGTAAATACTAAAGAGTAAAGACTGAACTAACTTCAAATAATGGCGGTCCCAGCTAATACGCAAAACCGCGTTACTAAATTGAGCTGACCAATCCCTGTACAAATTAGGTCAGCAATCCTGGAGCAGCAGCAGCAAGAAGAAGGGCAGAGAAACTCCTTCGCCAACAGCCTCCACCGCCATCGCCGCGCTGTAGAAATGGAATCAATCAACTTCGCCAAGGGCTACGACAAAGTCAGAAGCTCCAGCTCCGTTCATCTAGAAGTCGAGGATCAAGCTCGCCATCCACAAGCCACCAAACCAATCAAAAAATTCCGAATCGCGGTCGTCTCCGCCGCCGTCTTCCTCACCGCCGCCCTCGCCGTCATGCTCTTCGCTCTGATTCACCACACCAACACCGAACATCCGTCGCCGCCGGAGAATATCCCCGTCGCTGCAGCGACGACGCTCGATTCAATCAGAGCCGTCTGCAACGTGACCCAGCACCCGGACTCCTGCCTCGCGGCCATATCTGCCGCCGTAGGCGGCAATCCGAAGCCGGTGACCGACCCGGAGGAGATCCTCAAGGTCTCGATCCAAGTCTCCCTGAAGAGATTCGCGGATCTGGCTTCCCTGTTCCGCAATTCGTCAGGCGGCGAGTGGGGATCGAAGGTCGCGGTGGATGACTGCGTGGATCAATTGGGGGAAGGGGTCAGTAACCTGAACCAGTCGCTGGCGGCTATGGAGGTTGAAGCTAGTACGGAGGGGAAGATGTTGACGCCAGCGAAGATCGACGACTTGAAGACGTGGATTAGTGCGGCGATGACCGACGAGGAGACTTGTGGGGACGGGTTGGAGGAAATGGGGGCCAAGGTTCCGGAAGGGGTGAAGGCGGAGATGGAGGAATGCAAGCAGTTGTTGAGTAACAGCTTGGCGATTCTTGCCAACATGACAAGCCTACTCCGCCATTTCCATCTCCAAATGCATTAACGAATACGCATCAAGGGGGTGAAGCTGTTGGTTGTATTTAGCACAAACCCACTTACAAATGTTCCTTTTCTCCAAGTTTAGTATAATCTTGTGATGTATACTTCTTTTTTCCTCCAAGTCTGTGATGTCTGTTCTTATGCTCATCGTAATGGTGGAATCATGCTGCAACAAGATTCCGTAGATCATTTTCACCAAGTTACAATGACTAAAAAAAATCATCTTAAGCAATATCCCAACTTTTATTCTACATTTCTACTCATAAACTAAGTGCATAAGATGAACTTCATAGATACAAATATTGTGAGCTCTATCCAATAATGGACAATTAACAAAGGGCTCAAGTTGGCTCAAACTAATATTATCACCACAGTTATAAACAGTCGGAGAAAAAAAAAATTATTCTTAGTAAAGTTTCAAATATGAATAAAATCGTTAAGGCTGTGCCAAAATATCAAAGAAGAACAGTTAGGAGTAGGGTTGACTATTCAACCCGAACCCATAGGTATTCAATCGGCTAAATGGTAAAGCTGGTAAACTCCAATGTTGACGGATTTAGAATCGAGCGCGGATTTATCCACTTTTGAAATTGACGAATTGAGTTGGGTTTTGCCAAAAATCAGCTTGCTTTCCGCCCAACCCGCTTATTGGATTCCTATTACCGCATACCTTCTTAAGCATTAGTACTAGCCAGGCTCAAGCCTTTATTTTCCTAACAAATTTGAGGTTGAGGCTGGAGATGACATGTTTGAAGGTTGCTGGCTTATCTTGTTCGATAAGCATCACATACATGCCATTGATTATGAGACTTTGTACTCTTTCACTAATTCTACTAGATATTCCTATTGTTTGTGTACGTAACTTGAAACAATCTTTTTTATCCATAACAACTCGTTGTGCTTACCGTCACAATTCATCTCTTGATCAATGGTGTTATTTGCTCGATAATTTCTTCAAACTCTACGTTGCTTGCTTCTAATGATTCGAGAACAAAGTGGATATGTTCAGAGCAACTATCATGTTATGCCATAACCACTACTCTATCCTATCCATAAACAAAGAAAAAAATTCAAATGGATCTTGTCTAGTTCATGTTCTATCTTACGAAGAAAAAGTTATGCAATACCATTTCTTTCTTAAACTAGTTTAGCGAATCATCTGAGATTACAGTAAATCAGCCAATGACTATTTGGACTATGAATTGGTCCTGTGGGAGAGCCCCTGCTTCTGCTTAGTTCCAAATTCTTAAAACCCTAAAAAAAATTGCTACCAAACTTACTTCACAATTAAACTAGGATGGTGCACACATATACACAGCAGCCAAATATAGAAATCACAACGTGTCCATATGCTTTGAATCGGCCCCTCTTTTGATGTGATTAAGGTGAGTAGAAAACTATGTTGAGAGGTTGGTGGTCGGCTGTAGGGATTAATGAGATCTCATACAGGACAAAACTGCAGAGTAATTACATATTAATACATGTTTAATCTTATATAAATAAAAAACGAAAATTATATTCATACATTGTTGCAAAGCTTAATTGTTTTTTTTTTTGACGAATATTGCAAGCTTAATTGGCTCCACACTAATTAACCCCTGACCAGATAACGACAAGATGGCTACTCATATTGTACAACTACATAGCCCAAATGAAAAAAAGGGGTTTGGTGGTGGGAGAAGAAGTGGAAGTAGAGAGAATAGGACAAAACCGAATCATTAAGATAATCCGATTTTAATTAACTTAATCAAAACCAGATTAAGCCGATCATATTTGTAGTAAACTTCTGATGGAGTCCAAGTCGAAATCCTGATTGTTGGGATCAATGGTGCCCAGCAACTGAGACAGCCTTCCACTCAGATCATCCACCTCTTTCTCCAGCTTCCTGATGTAGCTGCATGTCTCCTTCAACACCTTCGATGCCTGTGCCTGCATCAACAACATTAACAACAAGTAATTAATGCGTTAATAAAGTGTGGTTAATCATGTCTCTGTTGTGTGATTATATGGTTAAGTAAGTAAGTAAGTACCCTCGAGGGCTGCTGCCTTGGATTAAGGTGAGGCAGGAGGGCTTGTAGTTTCAAGACGAGGTCAGTGATAATCTCATCTTCAGACATTGTTGAAGAAGTAGCTCTGGATGCTGGTCTCCTGCTAGACATTGTAATGATGCTCCAGCCTCCAGAAGAGCAAGTAACAGAGACAAGGATGGACGTTTTTATAAGGACGCGATTGATGCTACTCAAGGGTTTTATGGACCGGAAGTTGCCTTAAGAAACTGGAAAGCTGGTTGAGTGGGAAGTTCGAATTGAAGGCAGAGCTTCAGCTTAAATAGAGGTCACGAAGAGGTGGAAACAGGGGAGAGGTAGGTTTTAGTTGGAGAAAATTACATTACCCTTTTTCTTTTCTATTAGGCATTTTCTCAACAAACAACGACAGGAGAAGAAAAAAAAATGTAGGGAGGGGAAGGGTCCCAGTTTTGTCTCTCAATACGTATATAATGGGACCTGCATGCAATTATTAAGTGTGGGGAGGGAGGGGATTTAAATGGGGAAAGCACCCATTCCTTTGCAAAATGACAATCTCAAATTTGTCAGCTCTGCCTGGTCCTTAATCTAGTAGGAGATTAATCAAACATGTTTCACCTTATGGGGGCACGTGTCATGTCCCCTCTTTCATAGGACATCATCGCAGAGCGGGAAAACCCGGACAACCGAAGCAGTCGGTCTCGTTCAGGCGTAATTGATTCAAGCACGAGAAGCCGGTTACTGATAAGAGTACTTATAGGACCATGTTGACTTAAGGTGCTTCAGACTAGGGTGTTTTGGAAGGAAGGCATCAACTTTGGATCTAGTCGGGATCTTCTTTTATCAATTCGATTAAGAGGCAAAAGCTTATTTGTCTTCATGGTATGATTTGACAGGGATTTGATTTCAGTCATTAGATGGTGTATTTAGCATCCAGCAGCTCAAATCCCAGTAAGACATCAATAATTAAAGCATAAGAAGTTGATGATCGATAGAAATCTGGTGAAGTTGTTGACTTAGGTAGCTTCAGAGGTTGTCTTGGACAAAAGCCATAAAATTTGAATCCAGCTAGGGTCTTCTTTCTGGCGATTCGATCAAGGGGAAAAAGCTTATTTGTCCCCGTTGTATGACATGGCAGAGGTGCAATTACAACCATCATATTGTGCAGTTAGCATCTAGCAGCTCAAATCTCGCACATACATCACCAAGTCAATCACGAGAAGTCGCTAACGGTTAGAGTTCTTAGGACCTCTTTGACTTCTCTCAGTAGCTTCAAAGGCATCTTGGAAGGAAGCCACCAAATTCGAGTTTAGCTAGGGTCTTTTAGCAATTCAGTCAAAGGGTATAAGCTCGCCCATTTCCCACCATATGATGTGGTCAAGGGTGCAATCATAGTTAACAGATTGTGTAATTAACATCCAATAGTCGAGATCCTACACATACATATACGAAAAGTCGGTGACCGATAGAGTCCTTACATGTCCATGTTGGCTAAAGTTGCTTCAAACTAAGGATGTTTTGGAAGGAAGCCTTCAAATTTGAATCTAGGTTAGGGTCTTGTTTTAGCTGGGAGCAGAAGCTCATCCGTCTCCGTTGCAAGATCTGGGCAGGGGCGTAATATCAACCGTTGGATGGTGTATTCAATATCCAACAGTTGAGATCTCACTGAGACATATCACCGATTCAAAAGTGCGAGATATCGCGGTAACCCCGAGAGTCCTTAAACTATAGTTGCTACAGAGGTGTTTAGGAAGGTTCCTCACAACTACTAATTGAGACATTGAGTTATTTATCAATTCCAACACCTTAAATGGTATGGTACCGTTTTACTGCTAAATGTTGGATGTCTACAGCCTACCCAGAGGATGATGCCTTTGCCTCTCCTCTCACGGGAAAAACGGTCGAGATGTGGAGGGGCTGCCCTTATGCAGCCTTTTCTCTTATGTTTTGTTTGTTTTTGGCTACCTTCTTTGTCTCTGTCGACTGCTCTTATCATTGTGTGTATACTTTGTGTGTGACAAACTCCTGAGTTTGGGTTTGGCCATAATTTGTGTAATGAATATAGAAGAGTTTAGGATGCCCCATTTGTATTTATGGTTGAGCCATCATAATCCAAACCCCTAATTAGATTGAGAATCTTGCAGTACTTTTTAGGGTGATGGGAACACCACAAAAAGCACACCCAGAAAATTGCTTGATCACCCACATTCAGTGTTTCTTGATTGGGTTAGATTATGATAAAATAATGATACTACTACCAGTTACAATTAAGTCATTTTCTTTTCTATTCTGTTTAAGCAACATATCATCAATTTGTCATATGTGTGGATTATGATGTGATGTGTTTTAGGTTTAAACGTCACTTTAATGATTCACAATCACAATACTAGCAAAACAGAAAGCAATCTATCTATTTAACAGTTGTGAAGTAGCTCTGGAGTTAAAACTTAAAAGTAGTGTTGTTAATTCTTTCCTGAGATTATATGCACGTAGACATAACGAATTCTTCATATTATCAAGAAAGAAAGACACCATCCTAGTTGATGGACGAAAGCATCAATTTATATAAGAAAATTTTGGTACTCTTACTGTAATGAATTTTCTTTTGTTGGTGGAATAAGATTTAAATAGATGTGTCATACATAAAAAAGGATTTATATTCCTTAAAAGAGAAGACAATGTATTAAAAGCCACTTATGATTGGAGCAACCAATCGTGTTTGGCAATTTAAAAAGAAAATTAAATCAACTAATTGTTTTTGGCTTTCTCATTAGGTGGTAATTTAAAAAATTAATAATGAAGGAATAATTTGGTATCTTTGGCCGAGTAGAAATTGGGAAAACTCCCGCCAAGTGTAACTTGGCCGAGAAGGAAGTGGACTCTTTATGTGCTTTGGTGTCGAGCAAGACACGACAACAAAAACCAATGTTTGATTCATGTGGTATGGCATCTAGTGCAGTTGTGTGAACGTTATAATTTCTTATGTTGCGAGGGCATTGTTTACACTAAAATATTTTTCTCTTAAATATCACGTGGGTGATTTTGAACAGTCGGGTCATATATAGAGGATTGTCTGGTTGGACCGTCTAATTGGTGGATAGTTGCTGGGAGTGAGCTGACCATACATAATTTGGTCACAATCTATCTAGTCCCACTAATATCATCCAACACCAAAGTGGATGGTACCATCCTATATAATAGATACCATCCAACCTTTTAGTGGATGATATCATCACATATCACGAACACCGCATCCGACTCTTAAGTAGATCGTGACCATCATCTAAATCCTAAGTGGATGGTCACCATCCCATATCAGGGATATCATCCAACCTCTTAGTGGATGGTACCATCCATGTTGAAGTATGACGACCATCCTATCTTATGGTTATCATCAAATTGAACATGAGGACGTGGTGAATGATTACGATAACATGGTGACGTATCCATAGACTTCTCGGCGACATATGGCTAACTTAGATACTACGAAGCTACTTTTCGAGAAGAGGAGAGAGCAGTTGGACGTCTCTCGGCAACTAAACTTGAAGCATGCTTATTGAGCAAAGAAGACAATCACAATCCAGCACACAGACAACTTGTCTCAATTGTCTCTTTTCCTTTTTCTCTGTGGTTAGCGGAGTTCCCCTCCACGAAGGATCCTCCTTAGTCGTACTCGTAATTGTAGTTGCGTAGCTCTAAAAAAATCTCTATAGAAGTAGGGTAAGGTAAACTTAAATTTTCCATACACCAAACACTCACGTTCGAACAATGTTTGAAAATGTGTAAATCATAGTAATAATCGTACCTCCATAAAAATCAGGTACAACTCATCCACCTATTTTTCCACCGTTAACAAGAAAGGAGGACAAAGAAAGAAGAACAACGTGCAAGTGCCTCGAAATTGAAAGGTCAATGCTCAATAGAGAGGTGTAGGTTGTCCCAAGTGGTCGGTCTTCCAACCACTAGTGGGTTTTACATATTTAATTAATTACTTGATTAGGTCCAAATCAAAGGGCTAAACTAAACCATAACCAGCCAGGGCCGAATTGGGCAAGGTGGCAAGAATTACAGTAGAAAATACACAAATATGAATGGTCACCAATAGTAGCGATGTGTCCCCGCAGAGGGCAAACATGAATCTGAGTGAGTGGTCGGTTTTGGATGGTTTGCTTTTTCCGGTTGCTAGATTTGATTATCTGGGTCGACTACTTATTATGCCTGCGGTGGGGAGAAGAGAGTGCAATAGGAACAGTAAATAGAATGGAAGTAGGGCAGCCGGCAAGATTGTTGTGTGGGAAAAGGGAGGTAATCAATCATAAGAGGCCGGCCGGCGTTGGTCTGAAAATGACAATGCATTCACGGAAGAAGAGGATGAAAATGAATTGAGTGGACGGCTCATCGGACTTTCTGCCCAAAAAAAAAAAAATCAAGACTACTGTTCATAAAGATTTTGATTAAAGTTGGTTGGCTGTAAATTGGTGGCTCGGTCGATCCTCAAGATCATTTTTGATTAATTTGATAGTTGAAAAGACTCAGTTTTCAAAGCTTGCAATAGCGGCATGTAACAGAATGAAACCACGTAATCAAAGAGCATGGTCCATGAAACCGTATTGTACCGGCGGTTCAACCATAAAATATTAGTATCGGAGGCTAAACCGATAGACGGTATTTACCGGTAGTGACGGTATTTACCGGTACTAACGGTTGAACTACGGTTAAATCACAATTTTACTATAAAATACCCTACCGCTGACTTTCCCGGTACGGTCTTCGCTACGATTTTATGAACTATGTCAAAGAGAGGCTCATATCCTTCATTTCGCAACTCTTGCACGTGTAGTATCTTGTTCGAGCAACTAATGTCAATTGAGGTTGGCGAGCCAATTCAAATACCCTTGGCTTGGCAAACTCAACTCATGTGATGCAAATGTTGATTCAATCTCCTTATTGAGTGTAGAAGTTTTAGGAAATTTAGAGTAATAAATTCTTGTAGTCCAATAAAAATGTGTTATTTATAATTATTAGAGCTGTGTCGAAAATCTCGGATTTGACTTATTTTTTATATCGGCGAAATTTAGCTTTCTCAAAAAAATCTAGGACAGAAACGTGTCGCTTGACACTCCTTCGTCACAAATAAGTCTGCCCTTGATGATACAATACAATTATACACATATAATAGGATATACGAGTGTGTGATTGTGTAATACAAATAACTTATCTGATATATATGTATTAGGAATATTGGACTAAATTTGTTTTAAATTGATGGACGACATAGTAATGCTTTGAAGATTTTAGTGTTAACTAATAACGAGATAAAATTATTCAACAAAAATTACGTTAAGCATGTATTTTAAATGTTACATACATGATACATCAAAATAGTTTGGTTTTAAATTTTTTAATCGACTCGCCAATTATTATTGTTCACATATTATCGTTGACTGACATATATGTCGGAGTTAACCAAAGTAACTAATGATAACATATTACTTTAAGGTAAGTGACGAATAAAAAGAAAATAATTTCCAGTAACAAAAGTAAAATAAATTGAAAAACTCAGTGATCAAACGTATTCACCTAAAGTTAATCTTTCTGACTTTCATTTACAATGAGGGTTAAAAGGTAAAAGAAACAAAAAATCTCCAGTGCTCCTTTTTCTTCATTGCGCCAGTCAAGCAACCACCTTTGACCTTTTCCACCAAAAATTGGAAGATGGGATGGGAACATATACCAGAAGGTTAGGTGATCGGGCTGTACCTTTACTCCGACCTCAACCCTCCTTCCTTTCTGCTCACCACCGACGTAGTTCGTTCCCGCCGACCTAACTCCGTGGCGGAATCTCCTTCGCGCCGCCTACTCTCCTCTGTCCTTCCACTCTCGCTTGATTCCTTCTAAAGATCATGGAAGCGGCGTCGATCCGTACCGGGCTTCCCCAAACGAGAATCTCCGTCGCGTCTCGTAAAATCTCGAGGTTTTTCCCTCCTCCCTCTCTTTGTCCACTCGATGAACCTTTTACTCTAATTCCATGGCGTCTGTAGACTTTGAATTTTGATTCGTCGTACAGAATCAAGCCTGCGCTATAGCCCACCCTTCGAATCATGTGGATTTTTGCCTGTGTTTGATCGCTTTCTTGTGGGTTCATAGGGGTTTTCCCCTTCAATGTGTAAGAATTTCATTACTTATATTGCTTTTGAAGTCCAATTTCTTTCGTTTTCAGATTGAGTGGTAAGGTTGGATCAGTTACATCGGTATCTTTCCTGGAGAATCAATCTGCCCAGACTTCTCTGGTGTTAAGAGCAAGTCCTGAGAAAGCAGCTCCCTTTCACTCTGGAGCTCGAGGTGGGAGGAGAAATGTTGTTGCCCAATCGTTCACTGCTCCTTCTCCAGGTGTCTGCCCGTTCGATCAGACTTCTTCCACGCAGAGTCAATCGCAAACTGCTGAAGAGAAAATCGGTGTGCTGCTTCTGAACCTTGGAGGCCCGGAAACGCTTCATGATGTTCAGCCGTTCCTGTTCAATTTGTTTGCCGATCCAGTATGGCCATTTCCCCGCCTTTCTCGTTGCTTGTTTGTGGCCTTGTGCACGATCTTCAGGTTTCTGATTAACCCTACTTACAATTTTTTCACTGTAGGATATCATCCGTTTGCCTAGGCCATTCCAATTTCTTCAGAAGCCATTGGCACAGTTAATTTCTGTTCTCCGAGCTCCTAAAAGCAAAGAAGGGTATGCTGCTATTGGTGGTGGCTCGCCTTTGCGTAAGATAACTGATGAGCAGGTGAAATTCCTGATCTTCTGGTATCCATGATTGATTCTCATTCTCTCTTGATTCTCAACAACTATTTTTCCCGGTAATCTAGGCACTTGCTATCAAGGATGCCTTGCAAGAAAAGGACGTGACTGTAAATGTCTATGTTGGAATGCGGTACTGGTACCCTTTTACAGAGGAGGCAATTCAGCAGGTCGAAGTTCTGCCTTGTTATTTTCACTCAATAGTGTTTGTCTGCTACTTTGCAACTGAGTGATTGAGTTTCTGAGTTCTGTTTGACAGATTAAGAAGGATAGGATCACAAGGCTTGTTGTGCTGCCACTTTATCCACAATTCTCCATATCTACAACTGGTTCGAGCCTCCGTGTTCTTCAGAATATATTCAGGTGTTCCATATTGGCCAAATCCTTGTTCTTCATTATTGCCTGAAAATGTATTAAAGCTTTATGCATTTGATATTTTTTTGTAGGGAGGATGCATATCTTTCGAGATTGCCTGTCTCCGTTATAGAGTCATGGTACCAACGACAAGGTTATGTAAAATCTATGGCTGACTTGATAGAGAGAGAGTTGCAGAAATTTTCCAAGCCTGATGAGGTGAGTTTCGAGGGTTTCCTCTCCTAAATTATTAGTTTTCGATCTACTTCAAGTGGTTCAAGTCTGAAAAATTAAAACTTTCTATCTATTATCTGCTATATGTAGGTAATGATATTCTTCAGTGCCCATGGGGTGCCAATGAGTTATGTGGAAGAAGCAGGAGATCCATACAAAGATCAGATGGAGGACTGCATTTTCTTAATTATGCAAGAGTTGAAGGCCAGGGCAGTTTACAATGATCATACCCTTGCTTACCAGGTTTGCTCGGTCATTCTGAACTGGACGAGTTTCTTTGTGTAGTTTTCACCTTCATGGCTGATCCAGTTCTATCAGTGACCTGTTGCTGTTTTCTAACGCCGTACATGCCTGTAACATTGTTCTTTTACCCTATCCAGAGCCGCGTTGGACCAGTGCAGTGGCTGAAGCCTTATACCGATGAGGTCCTTGTGGAGCTTGGCAAGAAAGGGGTGAAAAGCCTCTTAGCTGTCCCTGTTAGGTAATTGATTTTTGTTTCCTTTATTTTGTGAACAGAAATTGTTGCAATTTAATATTTAGCTAAAAATTTCAAACTTGGTGTTTGTCCTCTTATGTCAGCTTTGTGAGCGAGCATATTGAGACTCTTGAAGAGATCGACATGGAATACAGAGAGCTGGCCCTTGAATCTGGCATAGAGAGCTGGGGCCGTGTACCTGCTTTAGGGTGCACCTCGTCTTTCATCACAGATCTGGCTGACGCAGTTGTCGAAGCCTTACCATCAGCCAAAGCCATTGCAACCTCAAGTGGCAGTGCTGAAGAGACCGACGACTACGACCCCTTCAGATATGCCATCAAGCTCCTGTTCGGTTCAGTTTTGGCCTTCGTATTGCTTTTCTCTCCGAAGATGTTCCGCGCATTCAGGAACCAGCTCTTGTAGGAACAAGCAAATCATATAGTGTGTAACAACATAGCTGGTTTCAGATCGAGTATGAAGCTTAGGCATAGTAGTGATGCCTTCGGTTTTAGCATTTGCGTAAAATAAATGTTAAGACAGATTTCGAGTATAGTTGAAGAGGTAAGATCGTAGTATTTTACACACCGTGAACATTTACGTATTAAGGTTTGATTCATGGTACTATACTGCTTAGTTCAAGACTTTCAATATGACGAAGCATTTTATAGTTACTCTAGGAATCATGGAGTTGATTGTGCCAGAAAATGTCGGCTGCTAGTGTTCCTTTTCCCAGCTGCATGTGTTCCCTGAAAACAAAGCTTTCAATTTCAACCATTTCCATTAGTACAATGAATCGTCTCACAAATAAAGCAAAAGGGCATTCTACCAGCAGGACCACCCACAATACTGCACTTAGTGCCAACAGTCCTGGTAAAATAGGGTACCCATCCTTCACTATCATCACAGCAAAATGACAACAGTACATATCAACTTGCGTGAGAAGTAAAAACCATTATCGTGCAACCAGAAACCAGTGGCTGGTAACATTTTTGCTCTCTGCTCAATCAACTTCTTCGCTTGCCGACTTTTCCGCTGACAACCCTCTTACACGATCGTGTCAAGAGGAAAGAGTACACAACGAACCGACCTGCGAACCAGATGCTCAGGAACCGATTGATGAAACTGAAACATGATGCACTCTCGTGTTCGTGGTCCTTTACATGGTACCAAAACAATGAAGGGGACAGCAGCTGGTAAAGCTAACAAGAAAAACCACCATTCGTTCATCATAATGAGACAGAGAGCCCTCAGAATCAGAGCTTGAGAAAAGCTGAATGTACCAGACGTCCAGATTCCCAGACCTACATCATTTTCACTTCAGTACATCTCTTTTGGCCATCACGGCCAGAAATTTCCAACCTACTCAGTGACCTAACATCGGGGATTGGATGATGATAAGAAACTAGCATTAGCATTGAATGTGAAAGCAAAAGCTCGAACACACCCAGTTCCAAGGAGGCTAGGACAACATGCACTTCACAAAACTCTCCCTCGAGTAAGGGAAACTGCAACTATTCTGTCTTCTTTTCTTCTATCAGTTTCAGTTGAGAAAAATGTGTTCGATAACATGTCCATCTAATGATTTACAACAAAAAAACAATTTCAAGAATGAAATTATCAAACCTGGACTATTGTTTTACTTTTCTAGAAGCTGCAAACTTCTACACAGGTCTCATAACTGAAGAGTTCTGAATTTGCCACTCTGCTAACTTCCGAACATCCTACTTTTTAGTATCTTCTCTGCCTCACTGACACTAATATGCCTGACTCCGTTCTCTTTCATCCAATTCTCGCCTCCGATTACTCCAAATTCTTGCTGCTTCTTCACCATCTTCAACAACTTCAAGCCCTCACTTGATTTGGGGAAAAAGCCTTCTGGTCTAAGACACCAAGCCCTAAATGCCCCAAACAGGACCTCTAAGTCGTTGCTAAGACTTTCAACACCACTGTCATAGAACTTTACACTGCTCATAAAAATGCCATTAAAGAGTGCACGATCAATTCCAGAAGCCAAACTTCTCCATACACTGACAAAATCTATACTATTCAGATTTTCCTCTATGACTGCCATCTTTGCCTGTAAATAATCTAGAGCACCAACTAAATGTTTGGACACCGTCCAGCCATCTTCCCTCTTCTCCTGCCACTGCTTCTTGTTTTTCAGGTATTCTCGACTGTCGGCCTCGAATCCCCTCAAAACAACTGTTGATATCTTCTCAACCCACTCCTTCCTGAATCTCTCCAACTCTTTTATCTCCACTTCGAAAATCCCACCCGTGGACATGGACATATCGAATGGACCCTTCGCCCCAGTGTCATTAAAAAATGGATCATCTCGATCAAATTCCATTTCGAGAAACAAAACATCCTCACACCATTCTTTAAGAACCGACTCAAAATAGTGAGCAGCATTGGCTGAGTTTGCAACCTTAATTAACCCCTCATCATCAGTTAATGCAGTCAATCCTTCAGCTTCCTGACACCTACGTAACAGGCTGTCCAAAAATCTGTGTATTATAGGTGCACCAACTAATCGAGCGAACCTGCACCTCAAAGATGTAGTAGGCAGTGATCGACATCGATCAATCACTAAAGACAGGTGCTGAAGGAAGGCACTAGAAACTATAGGCGACTTGTAATTCTCGGGACCGGATAAAAGAGCTGCGCCCTGAACTTTCACTTTCCATTTCCGCTCATCATCTGACTCAGCTTTTAATTTCGCAAGTGTGTCACTGAGCTCTATTTCTGCCCACAAATCAAGCCAATCAGGTCGATCACAGAAAACAGATAGAGATGAAAATTTCTGGAGGTTCCTGTCTTCCTGAATGGAAATCAAGACACCAGAATGTGTTGCCAGAGACAGAACCCGTTGATCAAAAGAGATCATCAGGTCGACTAGATGCAGCAACGATATTCTAGCCTGAGACTGAACGCCGCTAACATGTTCTTCTTCCATTTGGCCAATATACACAGGAAATACCTCTTTTGCCAAGTATGTAGACAAAGAAGTTACCATGGCCGAAATCCATTCTTCTCTACAACTATATCCCACTAGCCTAGCTTTATCAACAAGGGGTTGTAGCAATTCATCCATAGTGTCAACATAGTCCCTGGTAATCTTGTAGACAAGAGCAAAAATGAACTCCGGCTTATCTTCCCATTTTGAGAAATGTCGTTGGCATGCAACTGATATAGGGTTCACGAGTTCTTCAATTGCCCAAAGTGGTTGGTGTAAAGCGATTTCCCTGTTGTGGCCCTCAAGCTGCCGAGCCTTTCTTCGCATCTGCAACTCTTGCAAGCGACACAACGCACGGAAGGTTTCACAATATTTATGCTTGAGGTCCCCTTGCATTGTGAATAGAGGATTAGAGGCTTCAGAAGATTCCCCAGTATCACGAATAGGCGAGCTTAAGGAGCTAAGTGGAGGTGGCCACCCAAGGGAAGTAAGGAGGATTCGCTGATCAGCAATTTGCTGGGGTCTTAATGTGGCCAGTGCCCGATCTACTCTGTCATCAACTACTGATACAAGTCGCGTCCATTGAGACTGTTTCTTTGTAATAGAAGTCAACACATCTTCAGTTTTCTCAAGTGCTTCAATAGCATGAAAACACATATCCTGGAAAATGATAAAATATTAAAATCATCCACCCAAGCGATGTGCTTTGACAAGTTATGCCCCTATAAATATAAAGTCTCCTCACCTCTGAACTTTCTGGAGCTGGACGCTTATGTAGGTTTCGGTTCATTACAAAAGCTACAGCATCTTCAATATCACCCACCAAAGTGACAAGCTTCAATGCAGTATCTGAAAAGTCCGACAAGCGTTGAGGGGAATCACAAAAATAATTCAAGAATGAAAGCCAGAAGAGGAAAGCTTCTGCGTGCATATGCACATATGAATATCTACACATATCTGTGTGTATATTGCATATATATTTCAACAAGACAATTACAATAATACCAACTAGTGTGGATGGTCTCAATGACATGAGGAAAGAAAGAGGGTAGGAAAACAAGAAATATATTGATCATTTCATTTGTAAGTTCAAAAGGAGAGCTTTATACAACGAAGATTAATCACTGACACAAACTAGTAAGCAGGCAGATCATACAATGTTAACTGAAATTTAAATTTGAAGGCCAGGCTCTCAAATCATGTGAATGAACCACTAAACAAGCTGAAGCACCAAGCTCTCGCTATTTCCAAGACCTTAGTCAATGTCGAAAAGCTACCGGTAAGAGTGACCACAAAGCAAATCCTAAGTAAGAACTTCAAAGTTAAAGGCCAGATGGGAGCTGCATTAACATCAGCTATCAAAACAGGATAATTCACTGTATTAGTAAAAGTAATGATCTTTACCATGTTCTCAGCCTGAACGAACAAACTAGAAGGTGACATGAAGAACATAATGCACACATGATAAATCCACATACATGTATCAACAGCACGCCTAATTCAAGAACTACTGTACTTGCCTGGGGCAAGATAAGAAAACTAAATCAATTAACTAATTGTAGCATGCCACGAGCTCTTCACAAGAAGACATAAACGACGAGTCCTACATCATTCTTAAACTCGAATACATCCATTTATATCAGATGAGTGAATCTCATCATGCATTCTGATGTTCTGGCATTAGTACACTCTTAAAGACAAAGCACATCCACAGAAATCACTAACTGAGAACGTTAACAAACTACTCCAATCGAAATAATACTTACAACATTCGGTTCCAAACATAAGCAATTCATCCAGGAACATATTTGGCTCTTAAAGAATCTGCATATATATTGTGTACCGTCTAAACATTGGTGAAGGTGTTAAGCATCAACAGAGACAAGAGATCATGACTCGGTATATAGACACTCATCACCTCTCAAACACTCTAATCGCTACCAATTCGGAACAATCGAACAGGTAAAGCTACACCAATTGGTGGGTTAATCATTCCAAAATAACATAAAGCAGCAACAATTTCAGCAACTTACCAGCATAATCTCGAACTATCTTCACCCTGGCAACCTCCTTTGCCAGCTCCGGCAGCTCCTCTGCCAATGCCTTCTCTTTCCCTCCTCCATATACAGAAGAACCGGCCGTCAACGAATCGAGATCGGAGAGCTCGGAGGTGGTACCAGTGATCAGGCCGTGAATCCGATCGGAGAAGGAGGCGTAACCGAGAAGACTGGATTCGAGCCTAGAATTGAGGTCAGCCAGAGAATTCTCCAAATCGAGACATTGGGATTGTAGCTCCGAGACTATACTCGGTGCATGCTCGAGATCTTGCAGGTCGTTGAGCCTGTCGTTGAGAAACGTTACGGCCGGGGAGGACAGAGTCGTGGAGGGAGGGAGGGTTAGGGTTGCGTCCATCATCGAATCACGCGATAAAAAACCAATTGGGGAGCAAATTTTGGCAGGGGATTGAAGGAAGCTGTGGGAAAGCTCCGACGGGGAGGAGCCCAAGGAGGACGACGGAACGATGGTCCTCTCTTTGGCTTCAACGGGGAGGAAGGAAGACGATACTGAGTTTGACTCGGACTGAAAACAGATGATGATGAGTCAATTTTTACGGGTTTGTCACACGATGGGTAACGTAACGGGAGCCGGGTCGACCCAGCACTAAAGAGATCCAACCACTCCACAATTGGACTATTGTTGAGGCCCAAGCAAAACATACCACATGGCCCATCAAAGGGAAGAATGGAGCGGAAGATCTATATTGGTATTGGTATGACGTGGTGGTTGATCACCTATATTTTGATCCCATGTCAGAGATTTGATTCTTAAACATGGGAATAGATTTATTTAGGATGATAATGATGAGGTGGATTTGGGACGAATTTTTCTTCAACCATAAAAAAAATCCAAATTCATATCCATGTTGAGGGAGGTTTTGTAACCCTCTCATATTCACGATTTTTGAATACTAGGAAGTCATGCCTACCTACTAAGAGACTAAAAGGGTATTTTAGTAGCTTTAGATAAGTTATTTACCACTTAATGTGATCAATCATGGTGAATGGTTGGTTAGCCATTGCCATCATTAATGGTGAAAAACGTATTATTATAAACAAAACTTGAAAATCTATTACAATTTTTCGTAATAATACCTATTTTTACCTGAAATTTTAGTAAGACGTGATACTGAGATTTAAATAGAATAATTATTTTCAATTTAATGAAATGAGTCAAAAAAAATATGGGTAAGTCTTGATGAGTTCGGTGTTTCACGCGAAACCAAATATCCACCGTCGGTGCCAAATTCGTTTGGGCGATGTTGATTTGATTGTTTCGCGGTGGAAACTCTTGTGGTGTCGTATGATCAGATGCACCACTGATTGATGAAATCAAGATTACTTTCAAATATCCACCAGACAATGCTGATTTGATCGGTTCAACTCTGACTTCTGAAAATGAAGACGATCATCAATTATCCACCGGGCGGTATTGATTTGATCGATGCACCTCTGACTTCTAACCAAGAACGACCGTTATTCGGTTTACACCTCTCCAAACAATGTTCGAACGAGGGTGTTTGAGTTTTTGGGAACCTACGTTAGATCTACTCCTATGGAGATTCCTGTGGAGAGCTTCGCGACTACGACTACTGCTACGACTATGGAGATCCTTCCTGGAAGGATAGCTCCGCGAAGGAGTTAGAGAGAAAAAAGAAGTTTTGACAAAGTTGTTCTGTGTTGATTTGGTTGTCCCCTCTCTTTTCTTGCACGGTTGGTTTTATCAAACAACATCTTCGTAGTATTCACGTAAATGCTCCATTGATGTGCCTCGTAACTGTTGCCTCATAACCGCCTTGCTCTCATTTCAACCTGCTTCTCGTGAGACTCACGTGCATCCAAGATCTGCACCGCGGTTCGAACCACAACAGTGTTGCTTCATCATCATTGATTTAAACAACTAAGAAGACCACACAGTCGATTAAACGACACCATTGTTTTATCCCATGCCACTGTTGGACTTGCTATGTCGCTCAACTTGCAATGTTGTCAAACTCGTGGCATCGTTGAACTCGCGATGCCGTTCAAATTGCAACGTTGTTGCCATGGAATCGAGTCACGACATTAGTCTTACAAAACCTCATGGTTGCTTGAGACCACATCGCTGCAAGACTGATGGAGATGTTGATAAGCTTGCACCAACTTCACAACATCATGGAGATCGGTGCGTTATTGGCTTTGCACAGTGTCATTTAACTTGCAAGATTCACAATGCCGACATGATTGACCTCGCGACATTGTTGCACTTGCAAGGTCTTTGGAATTGCAACGTTGTTGAGCTCGAGGCGCCATCGACCACCGGGATGTTGTTTAGCTCGCAGCGTCGTCAACCTCCTGATGCCGTTGTTGAACTCGCAACGCCGTTAAACTTGTGGTATCCCTACTTATCGCGATACTGTTTATCTCGCGGTGTCGTTGACCTCACGACGCCATTGAGATTGTTTATCTCATCATTTAGCTGCACGACGTTGTCAAACTCGCAACGCCGAACTTGACATCGCTATTCATCGTGATGTTGTTTAGCTCGCAACACTGTTTTAACTAAAATATGCGGCCTCTTGGTATCATGGCCGACTTTGAATTCGCGATGTTGTTTTAAACTTGAACTTGGCCGACCTCCCATGGCCAAACTCATACCCACTGCGATATTTGTTTTTAACTAAACTGTATCGCTTAGCAATATCGCAGCGTTGTTGATATCTTTTCGGCGTTGTTTTAGCTAAACAACACCGCTTGATTCTACCCGTGACATCGTTTTAATATCAAACGACTCAGTTTCCAGTATCACGGTGTTGTTGGAATTACGACCATGTCTTCGACCTCTGTCACGTTATTAAGTCCCCGCGGCATTGCTTGTCACTAAACGGTGTCGTTTCCCTCCTTTTGCAACATTGTCGAGGTCGCAGTTGAGATACGGCCTTGGCCGAGCCTTCTCCTTCTCCAGTAAGGAATACAAAGAACTCCGTTTCCGACCTCAACACCGACATTGCAAATCCTCACGACATTACTTTCTAACAATGTCGTTTCAACTACCGCGACATTGTCTAGCTCCCTCCAGCTTCGCAGTGCCGTTTTAGCTCTCCGCGGCGTTGCTTGGTACTAAACGATGTCGTTTGTCATCATGCAACATCGAATTAAATGCCGAGACTAATTAATACGATATTTAATTGAATCCAAAAATATTTTAGGTGTAAACAATCGCTAACTTTAACGGTCGACCGTTTCTTCCATCATTGACTTGGTTGTCATGTACTCACGTGGATATCATATAAAATTTCTATGTTTGTCTCTCTATAAAGCCAAAATAAGATATGTGAGTTGCAAGTTTTCTAGAATTTTAAACTTTTGATGCATTATAACCATTACAAGAAAAGTTTCCTACAATTAAGATATTCCTTTTTTAACGTTCTTTTTGTATAGATCATCCAGATGCTCTTATTAAGTGGTCATAGAAGATGGACAATCGGTTTATAATAACGGGAAAAGAAAGACAAATGGTCGATTGACCCAAATTTCTTGAGCATCCTAATTGCACATTGTATAGGCCACTATATATGTTGCCCTATTTCATACTCGTTTATGAAATGTCCATTTTATTCGGCCAAGCCTCGTTGCCTTAGCTCTTATCTCATCATTGAGAGATTGCTAGCTGGAAGTCAGTTTCGATAATGACTGGAAGAAGATAATGCATTTCCACTATTAGCAACTCAAAACCTATATTATTTGTCAAAAAAAAAAAAAAAACTCAAAACCTATTGTCATAATTTCATCTAAAACACTATAAGGTTCAGAATGAAAAGACCAATTACGCCAACTTATGTCTTCCTCAAATAGGGATAACCATACGAGCATTTCTACTATGCTATATAGTATTGGTGCTTTAATGTACAACTTAAAGTTGTACCATAACATGAAATGTATAAGTTTAGATTGTACCATAAAAGAATTTGTACCATTATGTTATGGTACAACTTTACAACTTGAAGTTGTACCATCACATAAAGGTACAAGTTCAAGTTGTACCATAAAAGAATTTGTACAAACAGTATAGGTACAATATGAAATTGTACCATAACATAAATGTACAATTTTAAGCTGTACCATAAAGGCAAAAACCTATAGCACCAATACTATATAGCATTGTAAAATTCCTCATAACTATAGTACTAATAAGACATATTATGATCCACAACAATCTTGATCATAGATGTACTATATAAATAAAGAACATAAGCTCGTGCGAATAAGAAAGTTAACATGAGCAATATAGTGTTTTTTTTACTGATTTTAAACGGATAGCATCACAAATTTCGTTGTTTTTTTTAAATGTCATTTTCTTTGATTTTCAAGGCTACGGATCACGGATTCGATCTTAGACTATTCTCTATCGATGATGAAGTGTATCAATCGGTAATTTGGGCAGATTTTTCCCGAAGGGAAATTTCATAATTTTTTGAGCAATTATTTTTTAGTCTATTTTCCTTGTTTTTTGAAGGCTACAGATCTTGTACAGAAAAGGATTTCGAGCGATTTTTTTGCAGATTCTAAAGGGATACAATCACAGATTTCAAGCGATTTTTTTGAAATCCAATTTTTCTTAGATTTTGAAGGATACATATCACGAATTCGGCTTGAGGCTATTCTCCACCAAAGATGAAGTCTATTAGTCGCTGATTTTAGTGAATTTTTCCGGAGGGCATTTCGCAAATTTTTGGCGATTTTTTCAAATGCCATTTTCTTTGGATTTTAAAGGATACAGATTACAAATTAGACTTGAAGCTATTCATCACCATTGACTAAGTCTATTAAGCACCGATTTGGGTGGATTTTTTTCGGAGGCATTTTTTAATGATTCTGAAGAGGTATATCATCACATATTCAAGCGATTTTTTAAAAGGTTATTTTCTTTGAATTTTAAGGCTCTGTACAACGAATTCTGCCTTAGGTTATTCTCCACTGATGATGAAGACTATCAATCGCTGATTTTGACGAATTTTTTTTTCCGGAGGGCAATTCTTTAATTTTTTTGACGATCTTTTCGAAGGGGCATTTTTCTTGAATTTTGAAGACTTTACATATCACTGGTTCACCTTGAGGCTATTTCATACGGATGATTAAGTCTAGAAGTATCGATTTGGACGGATTTTTCCTGAGCCATTTTTGGAAGGTTCCAAAGCGGTATCATTACATATTTCAAGCACTTTTTCCGAAAAGTCATTTTTCTTGGATTTTGAAGCCTACAATCACAGATTTGGCCTGAGGCTATTCTCCATCCATGATAAGGTCTACTAATCACTGATTTGGATGGATTTTTCTACATCCATTTTTGTCATATTCCAAATGGGTACAATAAAAGACTTCAGGCGATTTTTTTGAAATAACATTTTTTTAAATTTTGAAGGCTACATATCACGGATTCAATCGGAGACTATTCTCCACCGATGATAAAGCCTACTAATCGCCAATATGGACATATTTTTTTTTCCGGAGGGCATTTTCATAAAATTTGGGGCGGTTTTTTAAAGTCCATTTTTGATGAGAGCATCAACACCAAGGCAGCTTCAAGTCTAACTCTAGTGCGAGAGGGGCGTGGACCGATCACTAGGGGGTCGTTTGGATGAAGGATTGTAATGAGGAATTTGTGAGAGATTTTAAAACAATCTCTCATTGTGCAGGATTTTAAAACATTCTTGCGTTTGGGAATATGAGAAATTGTTGGCATTAGGAATTTCAAAAACCCACAAGTGTGGGATTTTAAAATAGCTAATGAAGGTCAGCTATTTTAAAATCTCTCATTTTTTTAACCTTTCTTCCAAACCTGTCCTTCCTTCTTCTCCATTATGCCTTTCTTCCTCCCCCATACCCAGCACCGAAATCTTCCCTTCCAGACCTGTTGACCGGCTGCGATCTCTCTTTCAACTGATTTGATTCGTCATCGCCACTCGCCATCGTCGTTCGACTCACTGGGGTCACCCCCACTCTGCTTTTCTTCTCCTGTGCCGATTGGTCGCGATCTGTCACTGTTCTGCGCCGAACAGACTTGCGACGAATCTTGTTGTTGTTGCAATCGCTGTTGTTTGGTGGCATGAGTCGGAAAATTCGACCTCTATTCCGCTGGACACATAATAGAAGAGGTCGGAGTCCGACCAAGGAGTTCTCTGTCCTCGTCGTCGTTGCCGCCGAGGATACCATTCCGTTTTCATGGCGGGGGACGAATCTGTGTTTTGGTTTTTCATTTTCTGGGTTTCTGAATCTATGAATCAAGTATGGGTTTCTTGCATCCCTGTGAATCAAGTCGATTGTTTTTCGCCGGATTTGTTAGCCTCGAGAAAGAGGAAATCTAGGTTCTTCCTTCTGGTTCCATGATTTTGGCAGATATGGTGTCCAGTTTTGAATCAGTTCGCAAATCAATTTCTAGGATTTCTAGTTGCTGTTGGGAATTATAATCTTCATGTCTGTTGAAAGAAGATGACGGAGGAACCCAAATTTTGTTGATCGTTGCTATTTTTTGGTTCAAGATAATGGAAACAGGATGCAGAGGAGAGGGAAGAAGAAGAAACAGATGTAAGGAGGTGGGTTAGGGATGGATATAATTGTAATTGTAATTTTCTTATTAAAATCCTTCATTCATTTCCAAACAAGTTATTTTGGCCAAATCCCATGTTTAAAATATATGGGTTTTTAATTGAGAGATTTTAACTCAAATCCCTCATTTCCACATTCCCTAATCCAAACGACCCCTAGAAGTCAAGCCAAGGCATTCAAGGGTCGACTTCAAGCTTGTTTGGCCCAGAACTTCATCGAAATGGAGGCTGACTTGTTCGTGGGACGAGATGTGATGATCATTGGTGTTGGGGCCGTTTCAGGCCAAATACCGGTCGAGAAGGCCAAATACCCGGTCGGGTATTTTGATAGGGTATTTTGCCCTGACCAGAAGACCCCCCTGTCGTGACCGCAAAATACCCTGTCGGGTATTTTTGCCCACGATAGGGTATTTTTGCCTTTGACAGCAAATGACCTATTTTCAGTTTCCTTTGCGGATTATGTGACTTTTACCCCAAAATCCGTGTTTCCTTGTTATTTTTGGCCCAAAAACTTTGTAGCCAATATAAAAGGATGAATCAAGTCTTTTAGAGAGTAATCAACAATTTTATTTATAAATATAAACCCTAGAATTGGTTGTTCAAACACCAACTTCTCTTCTTCTTCTTTCTTGATCGTGGAATCGATTCAGCAAGAGGAGACCGACATTTTGTGCTAACACATCACCCTAGCCGAATAGTCATTCGAATACCAGGCCCTCTTCTCTACTCGTGGATTTGGTTTGGGTTATTATCTGTTTTATGATCGTTGTGCTTCTAATCGGCTTATATAAGGTGGTATCAGATCACCTGTTCAACACAGTGACACACGTATCCTACTTTCTTGTGCGTGAATCAATCAGAGAAGGCTTCGTGCTCGTAACCATCGTCAAGAGAGGTTACCTTTCAGTTTTTGTTTTCAGTTTCGTTCTTGATTGTAACGTGCATCTGGAAAAAGTCGTTAAAAAATGAAAATCATAGTAAAGAAAAAGGCGGAAACTAGGCCAGATCACGCAAGGAAGCCATTTCGTGTGTTGTTCTTGGTTGGTTTCTAATTGTGTTGCTTGAGGAGTGAGAAGTTCTTACCTAGGGTTTTAGAGTGCGAGTGGAAATCAAGGTTCTAAAAGGCGCTAGGCGTAAGGCAGGCGCTCGGCTCCTGACTTGCGCCTTGCCCGATTAGGCGTAGCCTAGGCGCGCCTAGGCGTTCAGAGCATAAATGGAAAATTTCTCAAATATTTCCTGTTTTCTGGAATAATTCATATAATCCAAGTGCATATAAAATTAGCAATGCCTAGTTATTAACAGTAAACACTTAACATAACAAATAACAAGCAAATAGTGACCAATCATCTGCTAATAGGTGCTTATAGAGGCAAGAAGCTTGTGCTACGTACCGAGGAGAAGGAAGGAGTAGCAATTGATGAGTTTCGACTTTATTTCCCACTATAGCAGTGGAGCGGTGTGAAGGCGAGAAGAGTGATCGATGACTTTCTCTTGCGGCGGCAGAGAGCAGCAAATGGGGCGAGAGCTAGGGCGGCAGGCGGTAGCAGATGGGGCGAGAGATAGGACGGCAGGCGGCAACAGATGCTACTTCCCGTGTTTCTTATTTTCTAGGGCAAGAGGCAAGTTTCTGATTTTATAGGACAAAACGAAGAGTATTGGGTTTAACCACCTAAGCTCGCCCACGAACGCCCAGGCACGCCTTCTCTCCACTAGGCGCAAACTAAGCGCTATTCCTACCTACTAAGCGCTACCAACGCCTTTTACAACGCCTATGGACAAGTCAAGGCGATCCTCCACCGCCTTGCGCTTAATTGAGCCTAGGCGTGCGTCTAGGCGCGCCTTCTTGAACCCTGGTGGAAATAGGCTTTGTGAGTTCATTTTCGGGTAAAAGCCAATTCTGTTGAGTGAAACACGAGCGGTAAGAAAATGAGTGATCTCAATCGAGTGCAAACACGTGAGAGAGTGATTCCATGAAGAATTTTTCTTCGTACTACCATTCTGAAACTTTAAGCATTGGCGGATAATTTCTTGTTTCGAGTTTCTGAACTAAATGGCAGGAGAAGGAGAAGTTCACAACAATCAGGAAGTTCAAAACTTGGAAGGCATTCCACAAACCACCATGGATGCTCTTGTGGGACGCTTACTTGGATTATGCATGACCAACAAGATCAGATCAACATTCGTCTCGATGAGATGGCCCGAGCTATCAATCTCCATCCCGAGGAAGAGGAGGAGGAGGAGGACTATCCACCACCTCCACCTCCGCCACTGGGAGGAAGTCAAGGTCGACCTCTGGGTCCCAACAATCTCAGACCCCTGCGAGGCAGAGGAGGTAGAGGTCGAGGAGGAAGACCCTCGTTCAAGCTCGTGGAGCTCCTGAACCACATGACTACGAGGAGGAAGAGTATCCCCAACATAGGGATGATGATATGAGGGGGCTGAAGGTAAATGTGCCATCATTTCAAGGGAGAAGTGATCCTGAAGCTTACCTCAACTGGGAGAGAAAGATGGAGTACCTGTTCGAGTGCCATGATTCCTCCGAACGGAAGAAGGTAATCATTGCTTCTCTTGAATTTTCTGACTATGCCGTTGTTTGGTGGGACCAGCTGAGTGCTGAACGGAGATTGCACGGGGAAGAGCCCATCACGACCTGGCATCAAATGAAGACAACCATGAGGAAGATATTTGTGCCTGTTCATCAACAACGGGATCTATATCAAGCTCTTCACGTGTTGAGGCAGGGTGCGAAGAGCGTCGAGGATTATTTCAAGGAGATGGAGACATTGATGATTCGAGCTCGAGTCCATGAAGATCGAGAAGCAACCATGGCTCGATTTCTCAATGGCCTCAATCGGGAGATCAAGCAGGTAGTGGAGATTCACCATTACGTGGAAATTGAGGATCTGGTGCAGATGGCTACTAAGGTCGAGAAGCACCAGAAGGGAGGCTATCCAAGGAGGGTTGCCCTAGGCACGAGCACTCGAGCCCCATTTGTGAAGAAGGAGGAGCCTAAGCCAGTACCCAAGCTTATCGCCACCAATGTTGGAGAGAAGGCAACTACTAACACACGTTCGAGCTCTATTGTGTGTTACAGGTGCCAAGGTCGAGGTCCTGTGGCGAATCAATGTCCGAACAAGCGAGTGGTGATCTTACTGGAGAATGGTGAGTACGCCTCCGAGCCTGAAGATGGAGAGGTCGTGACTGAAGACGAGGAAGAAGAAGCTGGGGAGCGTCCTGTGCAAGGCAACTACACCTACGTAGCTCGGCGACTTCTGAACGTGCAGCAAAGGGAAGAGATTGAGCAACGGAAAAAACTGTTCCATACCCGCTGCTTGGTCAATGGCAAGCTGTTCTCGATGGTCATAGATGTGCACCAACGTTGTTAGCTCACACATGCTAGCAAAGCAAGGCTTGAAGACCATCAAGCATCCGCGACCCTACACTTTGCAGTGGCTGAACGAGGATGGAACAATTAAGGTGACACGTCAAGTGCTGTTGAGCTTCGAAATTGGGAGGTACAAGGATGAGGTGCTCTGTGACGTGGTACCTATGCAGACTGCCCACATCCTATTGGGACATCCTTGGCAATTCGATCGAGCTGTCCAACACGATGACGGGACCAACAAGTACACCTAGTCCTCTAAGGGGCGAGCACATACTCTAGTGCCAATGACGCCCAAAGAGGTCAATGAAGACCAAGTGAAGCTGCAACAACTCCGTGAGAAAGAGAGGGAGCAAAAACTCTAGTTGAGAGAAAAGAAGAGAGAAAATTTGAGTGACCCCACCCTAGTGAGCAAGCCACGAGAGGAAAATAGAAATCTCAATGTCGAAAAGAAAATAACGAAGACTGAAAGCTCCGGTGAGAAGAGAGAACTTTTTTGCAAGTGGAGGTGTGATTAAGCAAGATTTGAACACCCAAGAGCCGATGATCATGCTCCTTTACAAGGAGACACTTTTTATCTCTAGCGACCTGCAGGATTTGCCTAGTAGTGTCCAGCTTGTTTTACAGGAATTCGAGGATGTCTTCCCTGAGGAAGCTCCTAAGGGGCTGCCGCCCATCAGAGGAATCGAGCACCAGATCGATTTCATTCCTGGTGCTTCAATTCCGAACAAACCGGCGTATCGAACCAATCCGGAGGAAACCAAAGAGCTTCAACGGTAGGTGGACGAGCTGATGGAGAAGGCCATGTTCGAGAGAGCATGAGTCCTTGTGTTGTACCCATCATACTCGTACCTAAGAAGGATAAGACTTGGCGTATGTGTGTTGATTGCCGAGCCATCAACAACATCACGGTAAAGTATCGACATCCTATTCCTTGATTGGATGATATGCTAGATGAATTGCATGGTTCTAGTGTGTTTTCTAAGATAGATCTTAAATCTAGATACCATCAAATTCGTATGAAAGAAGGTGATGAATGGAGAACTGCCTTTAAAACAAAGCATGGTTTATATGAGTGGTTAGTTATGCCTTTCGGTTTAACTAATGCGCCTAGCACGTTTATGAGACTAATGAACCATGTTCTGCGAGCTTTTATTGGAAAATTCATGGTGGTATATTTTGATAATATTCTTATTTACTCTAAGAACTTAGATGACCACGTTAAT